ATTGAGGGCGATCAACACTCGCTCAAAGGGTGAAAGTCGGAGGAGTCATTCTGGAGCTTTCTTCCGAGAGATCTTGGCGTATGTCGTATGTGTTGAGCAAGTTCCGATCGTTTTCTTTCGAAAGCTGATTGTGAGATTTGATTGGGCAGGAGTGCAGAAATCGGGGCTCCCCTGTGCGCCGTTCCACCGTCTCGTCGCTGGTCCATCTCAAATTCTTCTGGGACGATTCCTCTTGCAAGGTCATTCGTTCCCGGATAAGCACTTTTGTTGCAAGTCGTCGAGTCCAAGCGAGGAATCGCACTCGTTGACAGGTGTAGACCACACGCGTTGAAGACTATCGATTGATCGGAAACATTAGCGGGAAGCATGAGTGATATGATTGTAAGCCCAGATAAGAGCGGTGCAGTGACCCGGGAATCCTGGAAATCGGTCATGAAGAGTCTACCGAGAGTCGATTCCTGCGCATCGTGCATCGCTCCCCCGAAGTTCGGCCTCAGACTAGGAACTCGACTGGGAAACGTCTGTCGAGATTCTGACTAGACGCTTTGCGTCGGCGTCAGTGCGCGTCTTGATTATCTACACGCAGAGCTACAAACCCATTCAGACGCCTCCTTTTGTTCGCGCGGCTACCAGTCAGCGTCAATATCCTTTTAGAGGGAGGAGGTAATCACACCACCACCTGTGTGGACTTGAATATCAAGCCGTTAAACGAGGAGCTGGAAGCTCGCGCTTTCAAGAATAATTGGGATATGTATCAAGCAGAGCGTGAAACCGTTGGCGCTCGAGAGCCGCGTCTCGAATGCAAAAACTTCCGGAAATCTCTCACAATGAAGTTGACGAACTCTGGAGAAAGGCTTGGACAGGCCAACAAGTGAGGCTTCTTCATCTCATTACGCGGCTCGAGTCGACGCTAGAGAAACGCCTTGAGAAAGGCCTTAGCCCTTCGAGGAAGCTCAAGACATAAACGAATTTGTGACGCGGTAGGCGTCCAGTATGAATCTTTGCGGCCCAGTCGCATGCCTGATGGAGAAAGAGTAACCGAGGAGCTGTGGGGTTGAAATCTCGCGAAGTTTTGACGGATCTATTGTTCGGGGTTTGAATCTTATAGACCGTCATTAACCTCTATCCGCGTTCGAAAATTCGCCGTTTTCGCTCGCGTCCCCATCACATCTTCCTCAAACGAGTCAGTAGCTGATCGAGGTAAGCTCAAGGCTCGAAGCGAACGTTTACGGAGTTGGCATTCCCGGGCAGTGACTTCCCGTTACTCTAGACTCACTCGGGTATTGGGATCGGACTCCGCAGCTGTCGTTCAACGAGCTCATCAACCTTTGAAATGCACTCGGACATCACAGGTCGAACCCGTGATGCACGCCCCTACACTCGCCTGAATAGTTCTGGAATAGTGGCCTCTAGTTTTCCATCATGGTGGACTTTGCTGGCTGAGTGAGCACTACCGAGCTCGGACCTTGAACCCTGATGATCTAGGCTCTGTTCCGGGGATTCTCCTCTCTAAAACCACCGTATCCGCAGATTTCTCCTTGACTTATGGACAAGACCAACTACTCGTCGGGAGGCGTCAGTCTCCAGTCCCTAGGTTTCGCGAAGGACCACGGGGGGCTTCTGAACGAACTAGAACGCACTCCGGGGGCGAGCCCCGGTAGAAGTTCAGAAAATCAAGGAAAATTTCTCCCAATCTCCTGGAGTTCAGAGCGAATCAAGGATTCATTCGAAAGGGAGGGGATAGGGGCTTATCGCATCGGCATCCCTACTCGCCCCCAAATACATGTCATGTAGACATGTATATTCTGAACCCGTTACATGCTCACGACATGGAGCATGGAGAAGCAGAAGACTTCTCTCATTGTGGAGTTGCCTAGATTTCAGGCACTTGACGTGTTTTCAAATTGTCGTTCCGACGTGGAACCTTTTCTAGGACTCGATTCACAATATGTTTCGCTACACTCTTCCGAATGTCTCGAGTGGATTGGGGTGCTTCCGTCGACGTCCTTTGTAGGGAGTCCTTCGCGCATTCTGACAAAGGCCGTCTTTCGGTCTCCACCGACAGTGATCCATCCGAGTCGATATCCCTGCTCTGGTTGAACTCCCTCTTAAGAGGGGCCTCTGTTTCGCTAAAAGAATTTTTTCTCGATATCCTCGTATTCTCTTTACATAGGCACATAGGTACATCGATGACAGCGAACTGCCCTTGACTTCCCTCGAGAATTCGTCGGCGTCGACTCAAATGGGAATACTTCCGAGCTCGGAGCCGTGATCGTGCTCATTCCATAGGAATTTCATCTCTTGCCTTCTCGTTGTATGTAGCTCATAACTCATAATAATAGGTACTGTATATACTAATTGACAGCATCATGCTTTAGTCCAGCGGGGACTTACTTCAGCAGAGCAGTCGGCGCAGCTTCGAGTCGCATCCTTGACGAGTCGAAGCTATTTCAAAAACCTGATCGCACGGAAATCACTCCCAACTGACTTAGATACTCGACCCTCCAGACCCGATACAATGACCCTCTTAAACGAGAGCTTCGAATCCCTAGTCGGGACTCCCGACCGGGCTTCTCGTCGAAGTTCCTGTCGGGCTTCCCGTGGGAGTTTTCGGATGAAATTTCGAAATGGTCCTGGAATGGGTCTCAGGAGGAAATTCTGGAGGAGTTTCCGATGTGAGCTGCCGCGAAGAGCCGCAAGCCCCGGCTTTGATCACATCCGAATTCGCTTTTTGTGGGGGTACGTTCGCGCACTCGCGACCCAAATGTCGAAATCAGTGGGCCAGTCCAGGAAAAAGTGTCCTTATCGTGCAGGTTCACAGGGCTTGCTAAACGTGCCTCGGATTACAATCGGATCTCCGCATCTCGTTGAGCAGGCGCACGAGTTCCGGTGAAACAGCGGGCCCGACTCGGAGCTTGCTGCTCTTTCCGGATCCGAGATTCCTTCCATCAGCAGACGAATACAATCCGCTGCGGGGGATTCGCTCTATCTGATCACAGGTGACGACGATCCCGAAGATCGGGGAAGAGCTATTGAGTCGGCTTGTAACACCACGGTTCCGTGTCGCCTATTCGCGATTTCTCGATGTACCACCTGTCCCTGTTCACCATGACATCGATGGGTGTAGACATTGCACACTCAGCGCGTCAGCGATTGCGAGTGACGGCATTCCAATACTATCCTACTGGCTTCCGAGAGGTTGTTCATTTGCTATCAGTTCCGCACGCGCGTCATCCGGCGATGCGTTCTGCTCCTCGATGTTGACCTAGCTCACTCAGTGTGTCGAGAGTCGCGATGATACGGTGCAGATCAGCAGAAAATCTGGATTGAAGGATTCTCCCGGGCGGACTCGATTCCCCCGTCTGTTCTGTGATAAAGGTCAAAGATAACCCTAATGCGATACTTGGGAGCAGGAATGCTCCTACAGTGCCATGGTCTAGTGGAGTCTGAGTATTTCACACCCATCGGGCCACTCAGTGAGCACGTACATATCTAGCTGTAGAATTTTCTGATGTTTCCGAGGGTGCCGGGAAGGGGATGTCGGGATAGAATTCTATGCACTGCAATCCCCACGACCGTCGGCTAGAGAGATATCAAATCTTGCTTGAACGATGCGGCTTTCGTACGATCCGGAATTCCTTCCGGAGCGATTCCTCGTCGAGATACACTAGAGCCCGCGAATCACGCGTGGAATCGTTCGCGAAGAATCCATAGCCTCGAATGTCTGCTGCATTTGATTCGTCGACTGCCACGGTGCCGTGAATTCGTTTTCTCGAAAATTCTCTCGGGCCACTGGAAGCGATTCCGCGGGATCTGATTTCGCTTTTCCGATGGAAGTACCCTGAATTCCTGATGAGGGGAATAGCGTCGAAAGGTAGGACGGATGCGTGTAGTGAGCCGACTCCGGTCAGATAATTAGATACGCGAGTCACTCGACAGGATGATTGATTGTATCAAGGACTACTCGTGGCGGCTCGGATATTCCAGTCGCTCGGCCATCGATGTTCACTCGACCCTGAATCGAGCGTAGGTCCGCGAGAGCTTCGGGTAAATACACTCTGTAAGCGGACACAGGCCGACAGTGTCCGCATCTGTGCGCAGCTAGCTCCGACCACCTTCTTCCTCTCTCGGGAAGCTTCCGTTCGGAAAACAACGCTAAATCGCGTGGGAAGGAAATTAGGCGCGGCCGTTCCCCGCTGTCGACGATCAGCGTAACCGTGGGTTGTTTTAGTAGGTCGAGTCGGGGAGCTTTTTGTGTTCAACTTCGTCTGCAACATGTGTAATGCTTGCCGTCTCGCCGACTCGAATCTGACTTTAATTTCCCCCTCGCTAAAGGGGGAACAGGACTTTCCGGTTGTGTGTAATACGTCGACATGGGTGAAACTAATCTTCGTCCCGCCTGCAACTATGATGGGAATGAAATTGAGCGATGGCCTGCGCCTCCACTCTCCGGAGCAGAAGCGTTGACCCTTGGAGGAACTTGTTGTCGTTATTGCGCGTTCGCTAGCTCCCCGGTTGTTTGCCCAGATGCTCTTATTGTTTCTGAAGTTCCTTTCCCCGCTGCTCTGCACTCTCCGTTCAGTTGCTTCCGCCACCTCGCCTCCTTCCGCCGCAGCTCCGAGAGCCTGCTTCACGCGTTCTTTTTTCCAAGGAGAGGTGGAAAAGGGACGAGATTCCAGATCTTGGTCCGCCCGCTAGATTGGTGAGTCCTTGCGAGCCCTTTGGCGGCGACGCAAGAAGGGAAAACGCGCGTGTTTCGGGAGCAGCGAGTCCCGAGCGTTGTTTTGATGGCGGCGACACCTGCGGTCATCCTGCGCGGCGAATCGACTACCTTTCCCTAGAATGAAGTACAGTCGCTTTTTCCAAGGGGCTCCCACAGCTGTCGCAAAACCTCACTTGGAGTTCGGATACCGGAATCGAATCAAAATGCCCCGGGAATCATTCAATGATCTCGGGATTTGATCGCCGTTTAAGACCTCTGATTATGGCTCAACTTTAAAATGGGAGAGGCGGGTTCCCGATTCACAATAATTGATCTTGACGAATCGACCCATAGACACGGCGCAATCTGGAATTTCCATATGTCACATTTCCAATGGAATACACCCATGCGTCCAAATTCACTGGAGACAAAGTTCAACGCGAATAGGGCGCCATTTCGAATCTATCACCGTTCATATGTAAGACTCCTGCGAAGCGGCGTAGTCGCGGTGCTCGCTGGACGATACCTTACGGCGGCTCGACCGTGGGTCTTCGGATCACTCAGGTTTCAGTTTTCTATTCCAGATCTCGCCTTACGATCCTGTCGGCGAACAGCAACATGTCGCTCTGCTGCCGACCTTCTCCTCCGTGGATCAGAACGAGACGTTCCCGACGAACGACACCAATCATCCGATCGAGTTGACGGCACGACAGCAGGAACTTCTGAACAATATCCTTCTGAAGATGAATATTGTTGCCATCGACGAAAGCTCGCTCATCTGCCTACTGGTCGCATACTCGATTCTCATCATGACCGGTGCCTGTGGCAACGGGCTCGTCTGTTTGGCGGTCTTTCGGAAGGCGGCAATGCGCACAGCACGCAACGTTTATATCATCAATCTGGCAGTTAGCGATCTCATCCTGTGCTTGTTCACGATGCCCTTCACTCTTGTCGAGATAGTGTTGCGCTTTTGGCCCTTAGGAAAGAGTACATGCAAGCTGGTGGCGGGCCTAGAAGCGATCAGTATTTTTGTGTCTACCATATCGATCACAGCCATAGCGATCGACAGATATCAAGTTATCGTTCATCCGTCACGTGAGCAATTCAGACCAAAAGTGTTGTTCTTGACGATTTCGTCGATATGGCTTTTCGCACTGGTGCTCGCCATCCCTCTGTTCTATTCGAAGGACGTCGAACACAAAGTGATCCCAGCGAACACGCGCAACATCCTACGTCAGCACGGCTTCCAGAGCGAAATGACGTCCTTCGATTACTGCGTGGAAAATTGGGATCATCCCCGAGGAAGGTTCGTGTCTTTCGTTCCCATTGCTCTCTCGATTGTGTCGGATGTTCTCATCCGGGAGCTCGGCCCGTCAGGGATCAGCCTAATCCCGTCTGGGAAAAATCCCGTGTGGATCTTCTCCCCGAACTCGCTGCGTGCTCCACTGCGCTCGACTATTCTGTGTCTCAGACTCGTCGTGGAGAAGTTCGATCTCCGCTCAGTATCCCACGACTTGATTCGCTCGATCCCCGAATCGGAATAATCCGCATTTTCCACGGCTCACAGTGTAATTTGAATTTTGTCTCCAAATTGACAGGTTCTACTATTCGATCTTCGTACTCGTGATTCAATACGTGCTACCCATCGTAATCGTCAGCTGGGCGTACGCACGTATCTGTAAGAAACTTCACTCTCGCATGCTGAGTAAAGGCACCAAGCTCGAGGAGAAACTTCTGCAGGAGCAGAAACGGGTTCAGCGCACCAATAAACTGCTCATATCGATCACGGTCATCTACATCTTGAGCTGGTTGCCACTCAATACTCTGAATGCGTACCTCGACTATTTTGTGACCGAGAGCGACCCAGCCTCGAACAAGTAAGCTTGATCTTTGTGCGTGAATGGATGTATTTACCCAGCGAGACCACGAGCCTTTGAGAACAAGTGGTAATGATAGTGATACAAGCTCATGAGCCCCCTCCATGGCGGAATCACGTGCGTCGGTCGTGCGTGAATACAACTCAGGCATAACAAAGGTACACGGAGATATTATACGTATAAGAAGCAGATGAGCCTTGCGTATAATGGCTCACAAGACTCATTGGCATGAAAGCCCCATAACTGGAGAATTTGCCTCCCACATACCAGGCCGGACTTGCGTGGCGAGTGGCGATAGAGAGAAAGGATGGGTCTCGAGGAAATGGGTCGCGGCATCTTCCGGCTATCCGGATCGGTTAAACGCTCACGACGCTGTCCAGCATGGCGTGACTCGCTGGCCAACCCAGGCAGAGTCGCCGCCGCTGATCCCCGTCTGCAGAATCCCTGAAGAACGAACGCGCTCGGATAGAAATGCTTCTTGCTAATCCGTTCGAGGGAGCAGGCGCGAAAGCGACACGGAAAAGAAGCGCTCCCCGCGGTGTCCTGATGAGAATTAATCACGGGGGAGGTGTACACGAAGCTATGACCAAATAGAACCAATCGTTTTGCGTGGGAATGGACTCATGTCGGGATATGCTGCGAGCCGAGAGCGGTTTGTCATTGAACCGCAGAGATCGTCTGTCCCACAAGTAGGCATCCTGCATCATTTCTATTCTTGCGGAAATTTCATTTTCTGCAGTACAAGGCTCGTGTTCATCGGTCCCTGAGCCGTGTGAGCGGACTATTATCGGCCTGAATAATTCCCGTCTTCCGACTCATATTCCATGTTCTATTAAAAGTATCGAGGTGGTTCGACGTCAGCACACTCGATCCAAGGTCTACTTCTCTCGTACGCGGCTGTACATCCCGCCTCGCGGTGTGCAAAAGCGTCCGAATACGGTAGATGAGTCCTGAACGTTCGCCGACTCTTCTTCGTCGCAGCTCTTGGAACTTTTTCTCAGTCTCTATCGGAGCATTTCTGGCGGCGCGGGATCCATATTCCATACACGCAAATATTCCCCCGAGAACTCATACACTCGAACGAGAGCCTGCCACCTGCCCTTCCGTATCGAAGGATGCGGTTGGAGGTCTTCTGCACCTCGGAAGCCGCTTCTGGCCGACGCTGTCATCCTACAGGCTATAGGACTATAGAAGATAGCAAACTATTGATCACCCAAGGGCGGAGAGAGAGATTCACCCAAGCTGGAGACCACCAATTGAGCGATAATTATCAAATTGCTTTCAGGATACTGTTCGCGTGCTGCCATATGTGCGGTATGAGCTCCGCCTGTTCGAATCCGTTCCTCTACGGCTGGCTAAACGACAATTTCCGTAAAGAATTCAAGGAAATTCTCGGGAAATGTTTCGGGAGCCACAAGATGCAGAGTGCCGTTCGGAACACGACAACCGACGACACAAGGATGCGAAAGGATCAGATAAGTAAAGTGAACACGGCCCTCGTCCAAGACGTGACCTCGCCCGACTCAAAGCCAAAAGTTTCCTCGGTGCCAGCCATTGAGCACAGTGACGGGAGTCCTGTGTGAATATCAACAAATCATGTATTACGAATGTCTGTGAGTTTGTTTACGAAATGCTAGGTTCGCTGTTGGGATCGTTTCCCGGAATGTTGAGTTTAGAGAAGTTCCAGACGGTGAACGCAGAGACCTTTTGTTCGGATGATACGGTGTATAAAAGCGCGCAAACAGACTCCGATTCACCCCAGTGAAGGGATTGCTGCGGGCAACGGATTGCCAGGGGGACTTCGGAGTTGAGGAAAAGTCGAAGATTGAGCCTCGGAATCTATCATCGGATCGATTGGAGGGCGGTAATTCTCGATTGATCTGGAAGAGATGATTGTCTCCGCTATAGCTGGAGGAAAATGGTCGAATCGGTCTTTCTTCCATGGAATCAAGGCTCCAATCGTCATGAAGGATGGGTGTTTGCTGAGAGACACACACCGAGGTCGTTGAATCAAGGGGATCATAAAAGATCGCAGGGCATAGGTTTCAAGAGATAAAAATGGTGGAATATGTACGGTTGACGAAGAAGATATAAGATATTTTATGCATCCTGTTGAAATGTACACTCCTGAAACAATGTAAATCAACGCCATTATCTCACGGAAGCTCCACGACTGAATTCCTTCCCAATAGCCGGTCCCAAACAACATGTTTCTCTTCATCGAGACTTTCCTCCCTATCGCCGCTCTCAACTTGGATCCTCGATGGCGCTTTGCTCCGCTTCTACCGACACGGATCTCCTCGATTACCGTTCCTATTTGCTCGGAGCTATCTGCTGGAGCGAATCCCCTTCGGCAGTGAGCGTGATGATCCGGGTATGTCTCAGAGAGAGAAAGTTGATTCCGGCTACGAACAGCTCTAAATCGCAAGATCCGGCCGTCCCGTTGGTCAGTTGGCTTGTTGGCGGTTCATCTGTAAAAATATCAGGAATGATCCATGGATTTCCCTCGGGGATTAACTGGGCCTACCACCCGAGAGGGAAAAGACCGAACAGCGCACCGACGGATCGACGGACCGACTGACTGGAAGTCTTCGAGGATCGGCTGGCCGAACGTAATAATTGAGAGCGACATTGCTTCCGAAGTTTATCACCCGTTGTATCGTCGACGACAACTGTCTCGCGCAAATGATTACCTTACTGTAAATAATAGTTCTATACATGTAAGAAAAATTCTCGGCTGGCGAAGTTCGTTCTTCCGCCTCGCTCGAGGGAGAATCGATTTCGGGATGCTGGCTCTCCGACCGAGTGTACATAATCCGAGGGGATTTTCGCGACATAGAGAATCTGTGGGCTGGAACGAGAGTGGGAAAAGCTACAGATATATATTTGGCGAGTTGCTGTACGGGTTTGATAAAGAGTGAATGCAGGAGTCGCGAGGAATGGTTTCCGAGAATCGTAGCCAAGCTCGCTGCAGATTCTGGAGGAAGGGGACCGTGATATCAAACGCAGGATCGGAAATTTTCGGGTGTAGATCCTGAATATGTTCATACGTGCTCCGAGAATGTGAAAATCTGTGAAGTATGAAATAAAATCTTAAAGAACTGCTGCAATATCCAGAGAACGCGACTTTTCCTTCTTCCGAGGGCACAACGTGCAGTCATCCGTGTTTTTACGACGAAAGATCGAGAATCGATCCCAAGACTCCTCTCTCATAGACTCATGATCATAAGACGGGCAGAAAGATCGTTGAGGCGAAAATGATCCTCGCTCCCGCCGCAGCATGGCTCCCCAAAGAATCCGCTAGATGATACGGATACCATCAGACCTCATCGGATTGAGCTTTCAACTCGGACACGATCTTCCGCACGACGGGGTGGGTCTCTTAAAACTGTGGAGACGCCCACGGCGAATCCGACAAAGTCTTCGATAGTCTCAAAATTGAATTTCACACCTGTCATCGGAAGCCGATCGTTCCGCCGGATTTCCCAGCTCCGAGCATCAGGGCCAGAGCAGCCCCTCGCTCTCCGTCAAGAACTACCGGAGGGAGCAGGGAGTTCAAGAGCAGGGTTCGCGTCCGGAGAGTGGCACGGGCGTCATTTGCAAAGAACTGCAATCCTCGTTGTAATGGTCTAGAACAAAAGTTCTGGAATACACAAAATTGAGCTCGGCTAGCAGTGAAAGTCGACTCGCGGCAAAAAGGTCAAGGAAACATCGCAAGCGAGTCGAACGAGCGAACAGACACGCGCGGAGAGTTCGGCAAGTAATGGAGGGAATCAGTCGAGTCGAAGTTTCTTCCGACTCCCATCGCAAATGAGGCATAGCAACGAAAGAGTTATATGTGAACAAGTGGCAGCAACTCGCGGTAGAGCTGAAACCGAAGCGTGGGATCCGGACAGCTGTTGAATCCCTGAGCTTCGCGAGAAGAAAAGAGAAGACGAAAGAGGTGTTCGCAAGATTGACTCTGCTCTCCCTGGCCACACCTCAGAGCCAAGCGAGGGTTTGTCCACCTCTCTCTTCTTCGGGTGGTGGACAGATTCATCTTCTGTCTCATGGACCGGGTCTATTTTTCCCAGCCGCCTTCATTCCCATCGTACCTTCCTAGGTCTCCGGCGACATTCCCTCCTTATCATTCGGGTCTCACCGGATCCGCCGCCCGACCAATCATCGAATGGAATCAACACTAATCGCATCAATAATAATTAGGCGACTTATACTGCAAAAATCCAATCAGACGGGACGAGGAGAGAGGGGCCAAGCGTATCGTATCAACTAATAATGACTGATGGACCCACCGAACACCTCCCATGGAACGTGGGGTTTTCCTTGATTCGATACTCGTCCGGTATTTCACCTCCGAGGCGGCCTCCATCCAGCTGAGGAAGACGGCTCCGAAGGGAACCAAAAGTTAATCTTGGCGCTCAAGGACTCGCCGGTGCTTGAAGTTTTCTGAAGAAGTTGTGCCACAGAAGAGGTAGAAGCAAGCTCCACTCGTTTCCAGAGACAGCGGAATGTGTATTCTCTCTATAGGATCCGGAGTTCAGTGTTTGGTGAGAGTTGATCTATTTGTTGGAGGACAAAGCCGAGGCGACCTCGAGAGAGTAAATCCCAGCATTGGTCTGCTCCAGGATGGCGGACCAGTCCGCCTCTAGCTCTAGTTTATATTTCAGTCCTCGACGACTGACGCTCAAATTATTGCTCTACGCAACCCAGAGTCCGAATTATTCTGAACGTGACCAACATGACGGAGGCCTTGATCGATGCGTCGCTTTCTCTCGCGGAGCCGTAGGCTTAAAACTGACGTCGGCTCAGAAGCCTTGCTCGCGACCATATACGAGATTTCCATAGCGTTTCCGAAGGATGTCATTCGGGTGTAGAGTATGACTGGATTTCTCTCCGGAGAACAAATCGATCATTCTAATCGAGCGATCAGAATGCGCCCTCGGAAGCGGTTTCATCGGGGAGGGACCTACGGAATCTCAGACATAGCTTGTTTCGTTGGCCCCTGACGGGGAATGATTCGCGAGCACCGAGTCCTCGTTTTTCCAGACGCACCGAATCGAGACCATTATCGGGAGGAAATGGACTTCGGACGGACAATGACTCCGACTTCGAAGCAGAAAACCAGCCGGGTAACCAGGGGGCTTGTGGAAGTACCGGGTAATGAAAGCCTCTGAGAAAGAATGAGATGTGCATCGTTTCCCTCAATGCTCATCCGTCTCGTTCCTCAAGGCTACTCGATTTTTTCATATTCGGGATGAGATCTCCCATTGTGAGTGCATAGGCGGATGATTTCCTTTGATTTAGCGTTATATCATCCTCCATTGGAACGACGACCTCGGACATCGATACGGCGTGGAAAGACTCTCCACAGACTTGGATGAAGACAGCGGAGATCAAGTTCATGCTTAATGAAGATTTACGTCGATACTCTTTGGGGATTCTCCCGATGGGAATCAATTTGGACTCTGACTCAGGCTCCGAATTCAGCCAAGAGCTGTCCGGGCCTCACCACAAGTCGTCCCGTGAGGGGTGCGAGTTGAAGAGATTCGGGTCGACGCTCGATAGCTTCTGCTTCCGAGGACAGTAATCGGTCCTCGATAGCGTTAGGTTGTCGAAATCGTCGCTCTGGGTTTTCGATGAGCAGCGGCATGAGTGTACGGCGCTTCGCTACGAACTCCGTGGAAAAAGAGAAGGGTTCCATCATCGAGTCTCGTCGATCGGAAGCGTTGCGACGCCGAAGTCTGGAATCGCGACAATCTGGAGCGATTGTTCCTTGACGGAAAATCCTCCGCATGAAATGATTGGGGCGTCGGCCTCGCATCGCTCCGACCTGAAGAATGCTCATTCGGTGGAATCGCAGCGACAGTTTTCCCGCTCGACAGAACGTTTCGTGATCTCACGAGCAACTCCCATTCATTCAAATCCGGGGGTTTCTCTCCACAGACGCGGACAATGTGCGTCCCGAATCACTTCGATCCGAGCAACTCAGTGAACACTTGGTGGGCTTTCCCTCCTCCGTCCATAGGGAAAATTGTTTCGTACACATTGATCGTGATTTTCAGGGACCCCGCTGCCGGCTCGCTCTCAACTATAGGGATTTCTCAGCGACCGACGAAGAGTTCTTTCCTAGCAACGGCGCGCTATATTGGGTCCTCTACGTTTTTCGCTTTCAGCGGAGTCGATGGGGTCTTTCAACACGGAGGGGAGGGTCGACTCGTTCATGTTGGAAAGTGTGCAAAGCTCTCGAGACCCGTGCTAGCTAGGACATCCGCTCGTCCTTGAACCTCAGCGTGGTCCGCGCTGGGATGGCCGAAACGCTTTCTTCTCCTGCGCTGTTTCCGAGATCTCTTCGTCACTCAGTCTGTGATGAACTCTATGAGGGCTCTCATCTCTGACTGAGATTTGGAGAACTATTTGTAGGTATTCGGTTCGGACTCGCGGCGCCCTCCCGCAGGAGCACTCGACTTAGTTAGTCTTGGAGCTAGAGCGCCGCAGCCTTTTTTTGCAGAGAAATGGTTTTACATATTCGTTCGAGAGCAGATATTCAACGACCACCGGACTCTTCAGATGCGAAAGGGCTGCG